AATTTTTATGTCACATTAATGAGTATTTTAAAGTACTTTTTCAATTAATTTTGTTAGTTGCACAATATAAATATGATCATCACTTTATGTCACATTTAGTGTTAAAATTGAAAGTCCACTATGCTATCAGAACCTCATTTTTTATTGATCACACAAAAACCTACATAATAACTATAAATAAAATTTATATCGTCATGTAGCTTAGGTCATGAAGAATATTATATAAAGCCCACACTTCTATCATTCATAATTATTTTTTTGGTTTAAAAAAAAACAAACTTAAATCAAATTTGCGATTTTCATTTTTAGATATTTTTTGAATTTGTATTTTTGCAAAATTTTACATAAAAATAAACTATATAGAACTAAAAACTTTTTCCTTAAAAATTTCATGAATTTTTAAAAATTTGTATAATATTATATAGATCATATTAATAGTGGTCATAATAATATTTGTGGTGAAACAGAAATGATGATAGAATAACAGTTCATCAGCTACAACAGTGATAATTATGGAGAGAAATAGTGATTATGAAGGCAAGTGAGATGATATGATAGAATGGATCATGAATATTATCATTGTTGTCATTATTTATAATTTGTATGAATATTTCCAATTAAAAAGCTGTTCATGACATGTGTTGTTTTACCAGGGTTTGGTGGTTCATAATCAGAATCTAATTCAGACTTTGGATCCTCTTCAGAATCCGTAAAATCATATTCTGACTGCAATGGAGTTGAAGGAGGAGTTGGGCTGCATGTATATGCTGGATACTGTTGCCTCTTTTACATCACTGAAACTTTGATCAAAAATAATGTTCCAGATATGACAGTTATACCAAGGTTGGCAAATTGACTGGACCATTGCCATTAATAAAATACTAAATATGGTCAAAATGGACCAATAGACCACCAATAGACCATCAATGGACTGCACATTTGCCAACCCTGAGTTATACCATAATTCCAAATTTTCATCCCCTAAATTTGAGCTTTCTATCTCCCTCACCTGTATAGCCATTTTTAATTTAAGATAGTTTAGAAAAATGACTTAGCAATTAATTGTGTAACTAATTTAAAACTTACAATGAATATAAAGCCATTCTGATATAATCAATATCATGATGCTTTTCTCTATCATAAGATGCACCAAATCTCTCATCAAATTCATTAAGAACTTCACAGAATTCTTTTGTTGATTTCTAGACAAAATAAATAAATGATATAAATTGTCAATTCTGAAATATATTTATACAGGTCACTCCTGTTATAAGGACAGCTCATTATAGTGATAATCTCATTATAGTGACATTTTTTCAAAAACACATTTTTATAAATATAAATTTATTCCTGTTATAATGACATTCATTATGTATCCCATTATAAGACTATAAGGACATAATTGGACAAAAAATTTTTTAATAATTATAAAATTTATCCCATTATAGTGACATCCATTATAAGTACATGTCAGTACAACGAGAGAACCAACCAAATTACTCAAATCACTATGACACAAATTAGATGACTAATTATTTATGTTTTTAATGTTTTAATATTACTAATACTAAACACATTAAACACAAATTACTTA